GCCCATCTTATCTCACCGGGTACCCATTCACTGCTAGTGAACAGGAATACTACTTATTTACATCAGTATTTAATAGACCCGTGAAGATCCGTGTTAGAATTGGTCTTCAGCAACCTGTGCTTGTCGTAAGAGGCGACTAATGGGATCGGGTGGTCAGGCTCGCTGACCGTTAGGCCCGGACCTTTGTCATACTTTCGGGCATCTTGACCTTGACATTGACCTTGTAAGTAACAACTCCTTCAAACAATAAGGAATCACCCAGGACAACCTTCATGAAGATGGTATATTTTCACCGTTCATGAACCATGATTGCTGTGTCTAAATGTACACAAAGCTGTTCGATAGGCTTAACATTTACATTTAATGAAAGTGATTAAAAAGAATACAATTTGATAACACTTTCTCAGTAAAGTATAGCTTTTAGTGCTTTTGTTAGGTTGAGTCCCATCCGGGATTCGAACCCACACACTCAGAGGCAGGTACCTAATCGCCAGCGCACAAAGTCAGCCCTCTAACCCACTCAGCAACCGCGACTTCCACTGTGGCATAAATGGCATTGTGTTCACAAATGTACCAGTATGCAAGCATTCTTTACAAGATGTATTATGCGCCTGTTCAAAGGTGCAATGGTATAAATACCTGAAGCCTCACTGCCTGTCACTATCATTTCACAAGGTTTTATCCAGGATGCTTGCATCACACCGAGTGCCGAATACACCATTATTGCTTACAGTGTGCCATATACATATTTTGATCCTGCTTGGAAATATTCTTTGCAATAGATACTCTTTTTCTCTATAAAATATGTCGATGGTATGTGTGGAATTGGGGATTTGTATTCTTTCTTCCCTATGCCCCAGAAAAGAACTATCAATTCTAAAGTCTAACCATGTATACTGAGACTATGTTAGTATGCATATAATTTTTAATCTGTAAAATTATAAATGTGAATTTATAATGTGCGTTTTCCATGTACTAGGCACATGCTCAAAGCGCTAACACAGTGAATGGATCAAATACATATAAACAATGAGGGAATTCTGTCTAGTCATAATTGCTAACAGTGGAGGAAAATTCACCTTTTGATGATACATTATTTTGTGCCATACGATTTTCTTTTTCTATGTGAAGTATGTCGATGGTAAGTGTGGAATGGGGGATTTGTATTCTTTCTTCACCATGTCCCGGAAAGGAACCAGGCGTTCTAAATTCACACCATGTATACTGAGACTATAGCAGTCTGCCTTAGGAAAGTCAGCGTGATGATGGACCACATACATCTCATGAACATCGAAATAGCTAATCAGGGGAGGTATGTCAGAATGATGTCAGTAAAACTTAACCAAAAAAGCACGTTAAAGACATTGGTAGTATTTGTCAAAACTGAAATGTTCACAATGAAATTACAGACAAGACTCATGATTTGTACAACACATTTGCAGGTACCAGTTGTGCCACTTGTTCGTTGTGCAGATCCTGGCAAAATTGGGACATAACTCGAAACGAAGTTTTTGTCTCTCCCTCTGTTTATTTACTTGAATAATTATGCTCCCAACTGATGCAGTTATAATAGCTATTACAACAGAATATGTGGAGCAAGAAGTACCCGAATACCAGGTTATCCTTATTTAATGGAAGTGGGTGGTCACCTAGTAGTTAAAGCGTCGAAGACCTGGGCTGATGAGTACAAAGTGTTAAGCCCATTTCTGGTGTCCCTCGCCGTGGTACTGCTGGAATATTGCTAAAAGCGGCGTAACATTTCACTCATTCAGTCATTAATATAGGTGATACCGTAATGCACAAATCCACAATGGACGTTTTCACAACGTATACTACCCCATCAAAAGTTTCGACTCACTTAAAGCACTCACTATATGGTATGTATATATATTTGGTTACGTCGAAGATGTATTTGTCCACTAACTTGGGGGGAACCAACTACAGACCTTATGCAGATTAATTGCACGAGGATCATGTATCAAATTGCTGAAAAGCATGTGCAAATATCGTGCATGTGAACAGCTGCGTTTTGGTGTGAAGTCTTGTTAAGAAATTACCTATTTTCACTGAGTTTCATCATTTATTGAACTAAGTAAGTGGCTACATTTACACTAGTGAGTCGAACCTTTTCATTGGGAGCCATGATCAAGAAAGCCCGGATGCCGTACACAGTTGCCGCCCGCTCAGATGACACACACTTGGAGTAGGTACAAGTTTGGCCGGCTCCAGGGCAATCCCAGGGCCATGTTTATGTCTCGCAATCGCACCATGCTTTTCATGCCGTTGAACTCACTCATATGATCTTCAGGGTAGGACAAAATACGTGTCCCATTTGACAGCGTTACAAAGCTGTACACATGTTCATTCAGGACATCAATGTCAGGAGCGATTACCTCCGTCACCCTTGTCCCGATGTAGTTCGCATGCCATGGAGGGTGTTCAGCAGTTTTGTCAAATGACTGAAGTGCGACTAGAAGGACTGTGATCCCTGGGTCTCCATCTTTGAGATCGTCAGCCATTCCTTCAAGAATGGTTACGTAGAAATCGTGGAGATAATCCACGTCTCATTTCCCACTTCTGCTGCTGCGACAAGACCATTTCCCTTAGGTCCGAAGTGAGCAGCAAGATCCTTACCAAACTGATATGCCTCTTGCCTCGGGTTGGTTCATCGGTTTGGTGGGTACTTATCAGCCTTAAACAGTATGGAGACGTCGATTGACAAGTTATCCTTTACCCAAATACCATACTTCATGTCCAAGTTCACCCAGGGCTTAGCACTGGTCTCATGTCCTTGTGTCATGTTGCCATACCCACACTGTTCCCAAGAAGCGCAATGTCCCACCCTATGTGATAGTAGTTCCTGGCACGAGAGGCAACCTGGTTGAATAGCACAATAAAGTATAGTTGCTCTCTCAACTATTATAGTTAAAGCACATGGACGCATGTGTGCCCCGATGTGGCTGGTCAAACTATCAGTCCAGCGTCAGGTTCCAAGAAGTGATACCAGCGCTATGTATATTTATTATATTATATTATAATCTGTTTATATAGCGCCGAGTTCCAGCTAGGCTGCTCACAGGCGCTTTGTTTTTCCCTCGATCATAGGATGTCAGTCTCAACGGCACTTATTATCAATCTCAACTCCCTCGGGGAGCATACACCACAAGGCGCACCGAGTAAATGTGGCTTTCCCATTCTTACGAGGTAACCATTCACAGCTGGGTGGACTGGGACACATAGTCATAGTACTTTGTCCAAGTTACTGCACGTTGCTGTACCGGCAACTAGGTGTTTGCACGTATTCATGTGGCCACCATCTGGTCATATACCAACGGATTCGTGGGTTGTGTACTGTACAATGGGAGTTGTGACAACACGGAAAGATTCTGCACAGAAAGTTGACTCCAAGGTTTTTACACCCGGTCACAGGTGGGGTCAATCCCGGCACTTCAAGCACGCTGGATTACTAGCCTGGCGCTTTAGCCAGCTGGCCCATCACGCCCACGTGTTAAAGCATATGTTAAAGCATGACAGATAAGATAGTATGAAAGCAAGTGAAGATCGCACGCATACAGCATGAAAATAGCCTCATTCAATCACCTCTGACCACAACCTTTGCTACTGGCTTCAGTAGTCTAGTTATGACTGTTAACGTCATGCGGACATTAGTATCAGTTATAGTGATGAACTGACTCAAATATTGATAGTAATACATGGTTGTCAAGAGACCACTCAGTGTAGATATACGAACAAAGTTGACGCTGTGACAAAATACACACCATATACTCGTATACTAACCACACACTTCATAGCTGGAGTTTGATAATTGGTCACTTTTAGAGGCAAGGAATTAAACATTGAAAGCCCAGTTTCCAACCTTGCCGAAAAAGGATCACTCCTAAGGTAAAAAAGAAGACTGTCTTAGAAACTTTTCAACGTTCGTGTTTTGGCGAAACCTTAGTACGGAAGATCTGATCTGCACCACTAAAAGGAAATTTAATGTGGCAAGAAAAGCTCACGAATATAAGGCTGCAGTGCCTAAATGTTGTTTCTTTGTACTTCAGTGACCAACTCATGGACCTTCAAAATGGTCAACCCAAAGGCCAAGCCAATCATGAAACAGGAGTGGTCACTGCGTGTCACAGTTGTGATCCCTTTCGCAAATAGACTGTAATTTGCATTGCCAAGGGTCAAATCCCTGGATGCTTCTTTGTTTTTAAAGTATTCACTGCCCCTCAAATATGAGACCAACGATATATCCAGGAACCATACGTGAACATCCAGTCCAAACTCAATCATATCCATAAATATTTACCAATAAAGATACAGTTTGACAAATCAGAGCAAACTGACAGAGCGTCTCATGGACAGTGAGTGAGTGTACCCCGATTATAATAATATTCCAGCAATATTACACTAGGGACACCAGAAATAGACTTCACATATTGTATTGTACTGTGGTGATTCGAACCTGAGCCCTTGGTCTGACGAGCAAACGCTTTAACCATGGTGTTAGACTTCTTAGATTAGCTACACTTCAATACAAAGGTCGGTGAAAAGTGGATAAAGTGGGTGGGTCATACTTATATCCTCCCAAGACAAACATTACATATAGCTGCGTAAAAAACATTAATAAGTATATAATACAGAGCCACCAGTCCTACCTAAATTTGTATCAGGACGAACATTGAAAGATTTACCATTTTTACTTGTTTTGCAACACTGCACTCTCTGTTAGACGGAAATAATCGAGTGTGTAAAAAACAAACCAGAGATTGGAGCAATGTCCAACGCCATTGGAGTATAATGTCACAAATTCAACCAAACAATGAAGTCTGACTACCACGATTCATACTTTCAGACTTACAAAATTGTTATAAGCCATAAACTTTTCTACGCTTGTTATTATTTCTTTAAAAATTACAATGGATAAGTACAAATGCTATGTTGGCGCTCTTGACATTATTATGTTATTAAAGTATTACATTTTGTAATTACAGATGTCTTTCATGGAACCGTTCCGCATTAAGATGGTAGAGCCCCTTGCATTACTCACTATGGAAGAGCGGATCAAAATATTGGAAGACTGTGGTTGGAATCCATTCCAAGTTGAAGGTCGTCACGTCACCTTTGATTTAGCTACTGATTCTGGTACCGGCGCCATGAGTCAAGATCAGTGGGCAGCGATGATGCAGGCAGACGAGGGTTACTTTTCATCGCGAAGCTTCAAGAAGTTGGAGGACTGCGTGAAATCGCTAACAGGATTTCACTTCATGCTTCCCGCTCACCAGGGAAGGGCGGTGGAGCATCTGTTACTTTCCATTCTGTCAAAGCCTGGAATGACAGTGTTCAGCAACAATCTTTTTCTTACAACACGTGGAAATGCTGACCTTGCTGGTTTACATGTTGTTGATGTTCCATGCCAGGGAAGTCCAGATAGCTCCTTCAATGGGGACATTGACTGTGAGAGGCTCAAGGTGGAACTGGAGAAAGTGGGTCCAGAACGTGCAATGGTTGTGTTGGTCGTCGCCAGTACAAGCCCAGCGGGCCAACCAGTCTCAATGGCAAATATTCAAGACCTGTCCACGATTTGTCGCAGCTTTGATGTCCCATTGATCATGGATGGGTGTCGCTATGCAGAAAATGCTTACTTCATCAAAACACGTGACAATGAATACAAGAACATGCCTTGTAAAGACATCGCCCTGAAGATGTTCTCCTATTTCGATCATGTCTATGTGTCAGCCAAGAAGGATGGACTGTGTAACACAGGAGGGTTTCTTGCCACAAACAAGGAGGATGTTTACAACAAAGCATCAGTCAGGATGTTTTATACAGAAGGATACAAGACCTATGGTGGACTGACCGGGAGGGATATGGAGTCTATGACGATTGGCCTACGGGAGGGTATTGATGACAAGTTTCTACAGTATAGAGTTGAAAGCACTCGCATGTTTGGAGACATTCTGAAGAAGGCCGGCGTCCATGTCATCGACCCAATAGGATGTGGAATATACATAAATGGAGCAAAATGTCTTCCACATATCCCAACTTGCCAGTATCCCGCCTTTGCTCTTCATTGTGCCTTGTATGTCAGTGGTGGCATCAGATGTAGCCAGGTGGATGACATCTTGAAACTTGACGAGAGCAATGAACGAGAAAATCCGAAATCCCAGCATATTCTCCGGATACAGATACCAAGACGTGTCTACACTCTCGGCCACATGCTGCACATACGGGACATATTTAAGGGAATCATTGAAAAACGCGAGTCCATCTCCGGCATGCGTGTGATCGACTTTACTTCTTCTGATTTAAGTGCAGTCCTGGAACCTCTCAACAGGAAACTATTTTCTGATTGAAGACGTGTCAGCCCTGGTTTCTTGTACGTTTACCTGTCCAGGTCAAGAACTGATACACTGATACACTATCTCACTCTTTTTTTGTTTTCTGCTCATGGTATAGTCACAGTTGTACAATAGACTCTTCTTTGGGTAGAGATTTCTTATAAATGTGGAAAGGGTCTTGTCGCTTCTATTCGTTTACAGTCCGTTTGAGTCAGAAACGGACCGATAAATTGCAAATTTGATCATTGTACAAAATTGCCACAGAAATATAAATAGTACACATGTTTATCATTTACTAATCACAACAGCTTTCTTATATTTGAAAATTTTCCGGACTCCACCATAAAAGTTGTTTAAGAAACTATCATCAATGAAAAAGCTAAAGTTGTTATCTGTAGTAGAATTCTATCTAGTGATATATCACCTGCAATGTTTTCAAAACGTGAAGATATACACCCATTAAAAGTTGCAATCATATGATGTGACATCTAGTATACAATTGTTGTTAATTAAGTTTTCATTTTGTTAAACATGGCGTTTTGGAGTTAATTCTTACTTAATCTGAAGACGTGTTTAAGAAATAAAAAAGTTGATATCTAAAACATTTTAAACTCTTGTTAATCAGTTCTAAATGTCCTTCAAGGTATACATTTGCTCAGTTAAAAACCTTGCATATTCACTGCTTATTCCATTCAGAGCATTGTCTGTGGCATTTAGGTTCGAACACTTTACGTTTCCTCCCGTGAACTTTATCCAGCTAATTATCATACAAATGTGAACGATTATTTCATTGTCTTTATGTTTATATTATCACCCAAGCCTCAGGAGCATTGTCCTGTCATACAGTTATGACATCTTCAATAAGATCTGCAATAAATGCATCCCAAACTTCAGGAAACAAAATATACAAGAAACATTGTGTGTGCTTGAGATAGGTAGAAGCTCGTTAGATTCAAACACATATATTAAAGTGCATAAAAAGGCAATTTGAAACTACAATCGCTTCTTAAAGTGACTCACCTTTCATGTTTACTGAAAGACCTTGTTTTGGAGACACTAAACACCCCCCCCCTCCCCAACACACACCTCCTTTCAGATGATGTCAACGTAAGTAGTTAACTTATTCACTTAACCCACTATTTTCACTATTCATACATAATGCCAAGGGTTCAAACTTAATACTGAATGATCACACAAGTGTCAGCTCTCAATGTATTGTAACCAGTGTCAGCTTGAATATCTGGACACAATATTTTTGAAATATTAAAATGGGGGTGTCCTTAACAAACAGCCCCCGTCTAAACATAAATCAAGCAATCCAAATCTTTGAAATGTTGATTATGACAGGACGTCTTCCAATACCATACTGAACATATTTTATATGATATTAAATGAGGGCATACCATTATCCAAGAGGTACCAAATGACAGATTGTCTTTCGTTTTCTGCAATTGTTAAATAAATATCATACCCCAATGTGTTGTGTTGACTATAATATCTCGTTAACCAAATAATCCACATATGTGAAATTTTGGATATGGTTTGCTAATGATTCCTTCCAATGGAAGCTTTTCAAATATTGGACCTCGAGAATATAGTTAGGCTGAGAACGTTTTGATCATCCCTCGTACAATCGACTCATTTCCTAATTATTTTTGTACTTCTTCCGTTTGAATTGTAAATTGTCCAAGGAATTCAAATTTATGTCCGTTCTAGAAATTTGATTGTTCAACAAATGGATACTATTGGAAAATACAGATCTATTAGATATGGTAGATATATGGGAGAGATCTGAATACCTTTATCAGAAAATTCATGACACCAGGGAAGATCTTGAAACAAATCGTACTCAGTTTGAACAAGTGTTTGTGAAAAAATCTTTTCATGCTGACCTTTTGACATCTTTCACGGCCATTAGCTCCAGTCATCTCAAGGAGGTGATTCAGAAGTCCGACACAAATCCACTTCTCTTAATGCCAATCAAACTTGGCTGCTGAGGTCAATCATGGACAGTACCGTAAAACCACTCTTGGATATTATGAACACCTCTCTGGAATCAAGAAAGCAAAAGTCACACCACTGCTGAAAAAGCCTAACATGGATAGGAATATTCTAAAACATTATAGGCCTGTTTCCAATCTAAGCTTCATCTCGAAAACTCTTGAGAGGATTGTATCTCAGCAGCTCATTCAACACTTGAATGAGAACAATGGATTGCCAACAAATAACACTGCTTGTGCTCTTAGATTTCTCGTCTGCATTTGACACAAAAGATCATGCCATACTATTCACAAAACTTGAGACCAGACTCGGCATGACTGGATCAGCACTGTCATGGATCAAGATATATCTTATAGGGTGGGAGACGGACCTGCATTTGCCGGATACAGCCGGATCAGGGGGATCAGATGTTGACAAGCTCATCCAAGTCACGTGATCATAATAAGACAAGATAACTCATGAAAAAGCAAACGAATGCATGATGTCACAGATCAGCAAGGTTAATGAATCGTAGCTATGACGAAATCACTTTCACCTATAGACAACGTGATCAGACTCGTACCATATGTCTTGAGACATGTTTTAACACGTCTACCACGTCACGAGTGTATCATCACGTGACCAGAGCCGCAGTATATGTAGAAGTTCTTTTTCTGATAGTGAATTATTTGCAGCAGGGAGATGAATCTGCAGGAAAAATCATGAATAGGTAAATGGCTGCATAACGTCACAGGTCACAGGTCAGAGAGGTTAATGAACCAGTGTTTTATCTAAGGTATGTAACGTGCTGAATAAAGCCCTATTTCAAATGTATTGGGACCCGTGAAGGTCCGGGGTTAGAATATTCGGGTGGTCTTGGTTGACACATGTCATCGGTTCCCCTTTGCGCAGATCGATGCTCATGACGTTGATCACTGGATTGTCTGGTCCAGACTCGATTATTTACAGACCGCCGCCATATAGCGGAAATATTGCTGAGTGCGGCGTAAAACAAAACTCACTTACTCAAAAGTATTGTGCCTTCCATAGGTTTCTGGCACCCGTGAAGGGCCACCTCCTCGTGGTGGGTGCTGGGTAACGCTAAGTGCCCTTCGACCCCCCGTTGTGGACCCGGGGGGATATTTGGTCCACCAACCCGTTTGCCGTGGGTTGCGCCCCTGTGTCGGTGGAGGAAGGGAGTCTGGTGGTTGGGGCACTGGTTCCAGGAACAGTGTTCCTTTGCCCAACACACCACTTCGCCCCTGACTTCACCTAGACGGGTGGTTGAATGGGCCCGGTTCAACCAATCGGCTGGTCATGCCAAGCCCTGTGCATGTCTATTTTGCTGCACAAATGCAATAAACTCTGTAAAATTTCTGTTAGATGCATTGGCTTGAGATTATTCTGTTTGAATTTCAAAAACCTCAAGTCTGTACTTTGCCTAGAGTCGTATGCCCAGAAGGCGGTGGCTCATGGGCCAATCTGGTAGAATAATTACTTTCTATTATTCTGCTTGAGTATATCATCCCAGTATCCTTGGTGCTGCAAGTAGGAGGTCCGCTTGTTTTTAGCATTGTCCTTGTGATACTCCGTGGTGGGTGGGGAGCTGGGATGATGAATCTTATATACTTTAACATGAATCCTGAAACCCCTTGAAAAAAACACGTCAGCTTGATACTGATGAAAGTACACCTGATAGTTGTAGACCATCTAAGCAAGTAGAATACTGGCCAAGATTTCTAGTGATAGAATCTCCAGATAAGAAACCAATTAAACTCAACCCGTTTGCTGTTTCTAAAGCAGTGTACGGTATAGCAGGTGACGTCAAAAATATCAAACGAATGAGATCTGGATCGTTACTCATAGAATGTAGCAAACGACATCAAGCGTCTAACCTGCTGTCAATTGATAACTTGGCTGGATTCCCTGTTTCAATGTCAATCTATCGGACCCTCAATTCTAGTAAAGGCATTGTCAGAGATAGAGATCATCTTTTAGAGGACATGACAGAACTTGATATCATGCTAGAACTCAAAGATCAAGGCGTCACGTACGTGAAACGATTTACAAGGCGTCAGAACTCAGAAGTGGTACCAACCAACACGTACTTGTTCTCATTTGTGTCTCCATCGGCACCAAGATCAATAAAAGCAGGATATTGTAATCTTCAAGTTGAACTGTATATTTCTAATCCGTTGAGGTGTTTTAAATGCCAAAAATGTGGTCATGGGATAAATTCATGTACAAACCCAATAACTTGCGCTCATTGTGGGGAGCAATCACACGTCACAGAAGACTGTACCAACAACTTTAAACAATGCGTTAACTGTTCGGGTAAGCATTCCTCGTCGTCAAAAGATTGCCCAGTTTGGAAGAGGGAAATGGAGGTGAATAAGATAAAACACAGTCAAAACATCAGTTATGCTGAAGCTAAGAAACTTGTACCAACTGTCCACCCAGGTGAATCTTATGCTTTAATTACTAAAAGACCATCCACGACCACAGTTTCAGTCGAATGTCAGACAGAGCTGACATGGATTACTTCTACATCTCCTGTACTTGTCCCAAGTCAAGAACTGTCAGTGCGAGGAGAATCTGCTACACAGACTGCTGACGTGTTACCAGCTACAGTGACCTCATCTAAATATATCTCTTCTTCCCAAAAGGTCCCGCATGTCCAAAGACACAACCAGACACAAGACGGTCCTACAGTCCCAAACCCAGACAAGATTCATGTCCATCAAAACCTGTAAAAGAACCTCTGGTTAAACAAACTGTGAAAGGAAACCCCAAATTAAATAGACTCAACCAAAGCGATAGACTCGCTAAGGGTTCAAATGAAGATTATTTCCGTCATCATCCTATGGTCCACAATTTGAACAAATTTAAAATCTTAAATGCTAAAGCACGGCGTACATTCAAACAAAATAAACGCCAATCTTGGCAAAACTATGTATCTAATATCCATTCCCGAACGCCTATTTCTAAGGTATGGAATATGATCCAGAAAATAAAAGGTAAGGGCTCTAGATCTA